TATTTGCTGAGCATATAGATTGAATAAGTATGGTGAGAGGATACAACCCCGACACACACTGCTTGATTTTAAACCATGCAGTATCCCCTCGTTCTGTTTGAATGACGGCCTCTTGGTCTATGTGCAGGTTCCTCATGAGCACAATTAAGTGTTCTGGAATTCCCATTCTTCGCAATGTTATCCATAATGTGTTATGATCCCCACAGCCAAATGCCTTTGCATAGTCAATAAAACACGGGTAAACATCTTTCTTGTATTCTCTGCTTTCAGCCAAGATCCATCTGACATCAGCAATGATAGCCCTTGTTCCACGTCCTCTTCTGAATCCAGCTTGAATTTCTGGCAGTTCCCTGTTGTACTGCTGCAACTGCTTTTGAGTTATCTTCAGCATAATTTACTTGCATGTGATATTAATGATATTGTTTGATAATTTTCGCATTCCATTGGATCACCTTTCTTTGGAATGGGCACGAATATGGATCTCTTCCAGTCATAGATGAGTGAGCACTTCCAGCATTGCATCCGTTTGTTGAAACATCTCAATTGGTATTGTGTCAACTCCTGGAGCCTTGTGTTTCACCAATGCCTTCAGTGCAGCTTGGACTTCTTCCTTCAGTACCATTGGTTCTTGATCATATGCTACCTGCTTGCTACCTCCTGAAATGGCGGCATGTCGCCCAGTTCTTTCTGGTACAGTGACTCTGTGATTCCCTCCATCTTCTTTTGATGCTTCTTGTGTCGTTCAATTTTTTGCCCGTAGAATCTTTCACCATTGCAACTCGAGGCTTAAATTTTTCTTCAGTTCTTTCAGCTTGAGAAATACCGAGGATGTTCTTTCCTTTTGGTTTTGTAATTCCAGGTCTCTGCACATTTCATTATAATAATTTACTTTGTCTCCTCAAGCTGCCTTTGAAATCTTCTATTCAGCTCTTTTACTTCATCATTTCTTCCATTCACTTTAGCTATTTGATGTTCAAGAGCAAGTTTCAGAGTCTCTTCTGACATCCATTTTGGTCTTTTCTTTCTTTCCTGTCTTTTTAATGACCTGTTGTTTTCTTCATGTATGATATCCTTGATGTCATCCCACAACTCATCTGGTCTTCAGTCAGTGTTCAATGCGTCAAATCTGTTCTTGAGATGGTCTCTAAATTCAAGTGGTATATACTCAAAGTTGTACTTTGGCTCTCTTGGACTTATTTTAATTTTCTTCGCTTCAACTTGAACTTGCATATGAGCAATTGAGGATCTGTTCTACAGTCAGCCCCTTGCCTTATTCTGACTGATGGTATTGAGCTTCTCCATCATCTTTTTCCACAGATGTAGTCGATTTGATTTCTGTGTATTCCATCCAGCAAGGTCCACGTGTATATTTGCCATTTATGTTGTTGAAAAAAGGTGTTTCCAATGAATAAGTCATTGGTCTTGCAAAATTCTATCATGCGGTTTCCAGCGTTTTTCTATCACCAAGGCCGTATTTTCCAACTACCAATCTTTCTTCGTTTCCAACTTTCGCATTCCAATTACCAGTAATTATCAATGCATTTTGATTGCATGTTTGATCAATTTCAGACTCCAGAAGTAGGTAAAAATCTTCAGTTTCTTCATCTTTGGCATTGGTGGTTGGTGTGTGAGTTTGAATAATAGTCGCATTTATCTGGGTCTTCCTTGTAGGCATATGGATATTATCCTATCACTGACAGCATTGTTATTTCAGGATAGATCTTAAAATGTTCTTTTTGATGATGAATGTGACGCCGTTCCTCTTCAATTTGTTATTCCCTGCATAGTAGACCATATGATTGTTAAGATTCTAAGTTGTCAATACCAGTCCATTTCAGCTCACCTACCTTATCGATCTTCAAGCGTTCCATTTCACTTTTGACCACTTCCAGTTTTCCTTGATTCATACTTCCTGCATTCCATGTTCTGATTGTTAATGGATGTTTGCAGCTGTTTATTCTCGTTTTGAGTTGTGCCACATCAGCAAATGAAGGTCCCGAAAGCTTTACTCTGTCCGTGTCATTAAGGTTAACTCTACTTTGAGGAGGCAGCTCTTCCCTACTATGATAAGATTATTTATATCAGAGGTCTGTTAGTTCTTTGTTGTTGTTAGTTGTTTTATGTATAACAGAATGAAACATTGCCCAGTCCAGCACTGTATTGGGCAATATTCTGTCATGATTCATAAGGTTTTCATTGGGTCAGCAAAAAAGAGGAAGCCCCTCAATGAGATGGATTGACACAGTGGCTACAATAATGGGCTCAAACATAGCAGTGATTGTGAGGATGGCCCAGGACTGGGCACCGTTTCGTTCTGTTATACATAAGGTCGCTACGAGTCAGACAGAACCCACTCAAGGGCACCTAACAATGGTAGCTTTTGGAACTAGGTTGCCAGGCCTTTCTTCCTGGTTTGTCTTAATCTGGAAGCTTTTCTGAAACCTGTTCACCATGGGTGACCCTGCTGGTATTTGAAATATTAGTGACATAGCTTCTAGCATTATAGCAACACACAAACCACCACAGTATGACAGATTGACAGACAGTGGCGGTAGTTCTTTGAAATACCCCTTAAAATTCATCATACGTTAATGATTCATCTTAAAGCTAAGGTCAGGGAAAGTATATGTGTGTGTGTGTGGGGGGGTTAGATTATGATTGATTAATGTCTGCCTGTTAAAGCTACATTATTCCAGTATTGCTTAATATACTCAAAGGTATGAAAAGGAAAATAAAATTTATTGTTTGATTATTAACCAGACTTGTAAAATATTTTATAATGTTTCAACATTTAGCAAATTTTAAGCAAAGACGTCCTTTGCTGTATAACTTTAATACCGTAAACAAAAGTCAGAAAAATCTAGCATTCATTGTGTACATACTTAGTACATAATATTCTAAACACTATAAATATCTTACTTCTTTCAATTCTCACATAGGTACTGTTATTAGCTCTATTTTACAAATGAGGGGGCTGAGGCACAGACAGGCTGTCACTTCTCCAGGGTCGTGGAGCTAATAAGTGACAAGCTGGGATTTGAACCCAGGCAATCTGATCCCAGAGCTCAAGCTCTTGATCTTTATTTACAGTCCATCTTCTACTGTTGGAACAACTCGTTCTGTTTTGTTATATAACAGACATTGTTGAGATTACTTCTTTAATTTTTGAAATTCACTCTAATCTTAAAATTTTAAAAATGCTCTGAATTAGAGGGAAGTGTTCTAAACTAATCCCAGCGTCCAGAACTTGAAATAACATCAGGCAAGTATAATTTTCCTTCAGAAGTATTGAAGAGTTCATTTATTTTTCCTCTAGTTGCCTTGTGCCTTTACATGCTCGGCAGCTCATCTCAGGACACTCGCCTTCCGTAAAACGTTGCACAATTACTGTGTGATTTAAGAATGGATTCAAGTAGGTTACCGATTGCTTACAATATTAATAATTCATTTTGGAAAATAACTTCCCCTCTTTTGCAGCTGTTTCCTATCTTCTCTTCTAGTCCACATCCTGTAGAGGGATGGTTAAGGAGTGGCTGAACAAGGAGATACCAGGAAATGAAATTGTAGAATTCCAGGCTACAGAGACAACAGAATGCTGTACTGGGCCCACTAGGAAAATGCTCTGTTGCTTTGCATGAAAACTGTGTAATTATTTAGACTAAGCTTTAACTTACCCTAGAAGTATTTTACTACAGGATCAGTGCGTTTACGTTATTTCTTGTCTTAAAAAGACTTCTATGTAATAATAGCAGGGATGAAAGGATAATGTGGTTTGGGGGATATCATCTTCCTTAATATTCATTTAGGAGCCCTGTGGCGCAGTGGTTAAAGCACTTGGCTGCTAACTGAAAGTTAGGCGATTTGAACCCACCAGCCACTCTGCAGGAAAAAGATGGGGCAGTATACTTCCATAAATATCTACAGCCTTGGAAACTCTATGGGGCAGTTCTACTCTGTCCTACAGAGTCACTATGAGTCAGAATCGACTTGATGGCAGTGGGTTAAATATTGTTTGTTATGGTTTAGAGTTTCAGTGCTTAAACAAAAATAAATGTTTGAACCCTTCAAAAGCATTATTTACCAGTTTTCTCTTATTATTCTAGTAAGAGAAGCAATATACAGTTTTAATTAAATATTCCTAATTGGTTTAACTACTCTAGATAATATACCAGAACATTTTTGGACACAAATCTGAATTTTCAGAGAGTTATTTTCAATTTGTTTGATTGCACAATACTAATGTTTCACAGTGCACTCATTGTAAAACTATTTGGTAGTAGCTTTCTAGCAAAAGCTAAATACTTAAACATCACTTATTCTATTAGATATCACATGTTAATTTAAGTTGTTAACGGCTTGTGTCACCAGCATTAATAATTCTCTCCATTCCAATTAATACATAGTAAATTAGGATACAAATATCAGTTGGTTTATGTGTAAACCTATAAACATGTAATCCTACTCCCAAATCTTAGTTTAATTAGTCTTTCATAACCTTTGTGTACTAGTTTTAAAGAATTCCAGATTCCAGATTCCATCTTAGTCTTTATATTACAGCCTGCATATATTCACATTTTGAAAATTTTTCTTGAGAACAGTATAATAGTTACTCAGTTGTTGAGTAGAATATAAATAGAATTTTTAAAGGTATAGTTTTAATTTTGTGTTTCCTATGAATATTAGGTTTGGCATTTAAGATGATTCTTTAAAAATTTCTACAAGGACATTAAAATTTTTTTTTAAATTACATTTATAAAAAGCCAAAACATAAAGTTTTCCTAAGGCTGAGTCATATCTAGAATAATAAAGTAATAATCCTTTTTTTTTTGGAAGGAGAAAGCAGATAGCTACTTTGGACCTGTTGGTAATGATGGCCTGAGCAAAACACTGCCCAGTTTGAAGGGATACCCTTCTGCTTTAAAGAACGGAATGCTGAGGAAGCTATGGCAAGTATGTGTTTTGTTGTTTTGGTATGGCAAAACTCAGATACCAAATGTGCTGCCTTTCGATCCTATGTTACTGTATTTGGCTAAAATTTTCAAAGCTTTTCTTTAAAAACAGCAGATGTATACTTAACACTTTTTAAAAATGTTCTTTCATACTTTAAAAACTATAGGCGTATTAGCTGTTTTAAATTTCAAAGTAAACAGCATCACACTTCATAATAAATCTTATGTGGTATATTTATAATTGATTTTTCAATTAATATTTGCTGAAATCTGCTGTGTGCCAGGCACTGTACCAGGTGCTGTGATAACAGTGGTAAACAAGACAAATAAATGTCATGAGGGCAGGGACCTTTACTGTGGAGTAATTGATCTAGAAATTTTATTTTTCTTTTGTCTATATGTGGAAAGATACTTTAAGACTTAAAAGGACAATCCCTGAAAATTGTTTCAATATGTAGTCTATATAGTCTACTAATGATAGTTAATTATAATTTTAAAGACTAGGATATTGATAATTAAATACTTTGATTAAAGTTAACCATACCAGTATTTAAATATTTGAACATATCTGTACATAATTGTTTTTATATTTTATTTATCTGATTAATTAAGTTTTATAAGAGATATCAGATTACATACTATGCTGTTTGAAATATTATGTTTTAATTCAGTTGATATTTTAGATGATTTCAGCAAGTACTAGGAGAGATTCAGTGGCTATTAATGTCATTCACTTTCATTTTTAAAAATTGATAGCGTTCCTACAATTGATCTTACCAATACCTGTTATCTTTCAAGGTATTTTTAAAAACTGAATAAATTATATCATCAGTGAAATAGGTACTTTATTTTCTATTTAGTTACTTTATTTTATAAATGGGGAAAATAAAGGACAGATGGCATGATTTTGATAAATGGTTAAGAGCTCAGCGCTAACCAAAAGGTCAGCAGTTCGAAACCACCAGCCACTCCTTGAAAACCATATGGGGCAGTTCTACTTTGTCCTGTAAGGTCACTATGAGTTGGAACCGACTCCACGGCACCTAACAACAACAACGATAATCTCACTTGAAACCAAGAGTACAATTCTTGTGTAAGTCTGAAAGATTTAATATACCTCCTTGAGAAAAGTAAGGGAAAACTATTTTCAGCAAAAAACTATTTTTGATTTATACTCACACACTTTATTAACAAAAGATAGGGGATTTCATTACAGTGCTAGTTTATGTATCACTCTCAGTATGTATAGTACATACCTAACCATACATGCCAGCAGGACGTAGAAAACTAGAATGATAGTGTCCTAGAATGAGACCTTTCAAAAGGCATTCCACTTCTCAAATGTGAGGTCAGAGCTTGCCAGGAGAATCTGTCCAGCTTTAGTGTCATTTAAGTCTGCTTTCTTAGTTGTAAAAAAAAACAGGTAGAAAGGATGGAGTTTCTAGACTTTTAAGCCTTGACTAGCATTAGCAAAGGGATCTTCTAAAATTAGATGATCTTTGGCCACAATTTCTTAGATGCTTTCACTTTTATCACATTTGCTCTTGTCTATATTTACGTTAATACTTGATTTTTTATTGGCTTGAGATCATTTTTAGCAATTTTCTTGATGATTTCTCTCTCAGGTAGTGATTCTAGGTTACCAGTAATTTTTAAAAACCTTTAATATGGATACAAATTTTGGTTGTTGAATTCCCCATATACTTTTTTTTTTAAGAATTCGACTACTGGGTCCAAATTTTTTTTTTTTAACTTTGAAAAATACCCCGTGTGTAAAGGTCAAAATGTCTTTTTAATTGAGGGAAAAAAAAATACATCCTCTTGGACACCCTTTGTTTTAATTTGACCCAATTATTCTTTGTTCCTGCTATTGTTTTAGACGCTCTGCCATTTTGACAGATTTTTAACTGTTAGCTTGAATACAAGCATAAAAATAAGTATTTTCAGCTGGCTAAACAGAACTCTGACTCAGAGAGGGAGAAGCAAAACTAAATAGACCCCAGAGTCCTAAGAACTCTCAGTATGTACATGAAGAGCTTGCAAAGGATTCTCAGTGCGTATATTTTTGCTACCCTAATAACAATTTTATTTTGTTGGTGCTAGGTCAGAATTAACATGATCCTGTTGTTATTTGACCCAGCCTTGGTGTAAAAAACAAAGTTTTTTTTTTTTTTTCACATAACATCTTACCAAAATAACATGCTTTTGTGACTAACTAGGGCAACATGCTGTTTGTTTGCTGCTAATCATTTAATTTGAAATACAAGAGAACCAAAACATGGAGGTTTGGAAATTTGGTGCAGTTATGGCTCTACTGAACTATAAATTGTTTAGTCTTTTTTTTTTTTTTTTTCAGTATTTAGCATGGAATTTGAAACAATCTACTAACTTTTTATAATTTATAACATTGAAAACTTATTTTTTAATCTCTTTAAAAATGTAGTTGAACCCCATTATAGTTTTCTCATGGAACAAGAAAATAATGCTTCAAAGTTTTGAGGATTTTTAATATTTTCATGACTAAGGTAATTTTTATTGCTAAGGATTTTGCTACTGAAAGCAGTCTTAAAGTAGAACAAGTACAATTGATTGTTCTTTATAGCTCCTCTGTAAATGACTGTTCAGTTTAATGAAATAAGATATATAATACAGATATATTTTAAAGTTTTATTTTTTTCAGCAAGTATTGTTGGAGCCCTGTTAAGCTCTGTGTTAAAACAAAAAAACAATCAGTTGCCACTGAGTCAATTCCAACTCATGGCAACCCCGTGTGTTGCAGAGTAAAACTGTTTTCATGGTTGTGACCTTTCAGAAGCAAATCGCCAGGCCTTTCTTCTGAGGTGCCTCTGGGTAGTTCTAAACACCCACCTTTCAGTTAGTTGCCAAGCCCTTAACTCTTTGTGCCACCCAGGGCCTCCAGGCACTGTGTTAGACCCTAGGAATATAGTGGAGAGCTAAACAGATACTCTTTCTTGCCGTGTAAGCACTGCTATGATAAAAGAACTGCCCTAAATTTTTAAACTGTGACGAAATAAATTTTGCTTTCATTAAATGCTTTTCTGTAGAGCAACTTTGTTGTAATTATTTTGATGAGTTTAGAGTTATGAATTGATTAAGTATATAGACAGATCCATGGAAATTGGCTTGACCTAGAAGTACACCCTAGAGATTATGGGTGATCTTGAGGGCTCTTAGAACCGGTTGTAATTCTCAGAGCGTGGGACAGCAGCTCCACAGAATGTCTGGAATATACCTGAGTGCGCTCCACACTGAGTGATTCCGGCTCTCCCTGGAAAAAGCTTTATGTAGCACCTGTTTTTGCCTTAAGAAATAGAAAGGAAACTTTGTTTCCAGCTTGAGACAAATGACCATGGAAATATTTTAGCCTATTTCCAGTTTTTAGACCTTGAACTATTGTTTATTTTATAATAAAGCAATGCTATAACAGTGTTAAAGAGAACTTATAAATACCACATATAAAAATTTCACCCGTAATCTTTTGTGAAATTTTCATTTTTTATATTCTTATCTACTCTTTATCCACTTATTTGCATATATACTTTCCCATTGTTATAATTATGTGAAAATCTTATTCATATTTTTTTATTTTACAGTAAATTGGGTAGATATTTTTCCATGCGCCTTACTTACTCTTTTTGATTATCATTTTTAATGGCAGTATAACAATAAATTGATTTGATCAGTTATTTATTAAACATTTCTCTACTGAAAGATGAACTGAAAACTATTTTCAAAAGTAATCATATTTGCAGTACTAGATGCATTTAAAGCATACTTTTTTCTTTCATTGTCAAACGTAAGTTTAATTGTTTTTTAATTGCAAAGCCGCCTAGCTTCTCAGTTGTGCAACTGACCTCTACCCCCTTTTTTACAGATAAATAGTATAAGGTTCTCCAAATTGATTTTGAGCTCTGTTTTTATTGACCTTCGAATAGAGGATGAGATGCCTGTCTGCTAGTAGCAATTTCTGTGAAGCAATTTTCCTGTCCCAGCCCACATTGCACTTTAATGAGAAAAGTTGATGACTTAGAATCATATCAAAGAAGTTCTTCTTTTTTTAAAAAAAAATGTGTTTTAAGTCAAAGTTTACAACTCAAGTTAGTTTCTCATACAAAAATTTATACATACATTGTTATGTGACCCTAGTTGCTCTTCCTGTACTGTGACAGCAGACTCCTCTTTTCTACCCCGGATTTCCCGTGTCCATCCAACCAGCTCCAGACCCTCTCTGCCTTCTCATCTTGCCTCCAGACAGGAGCTGCCCATTTAGTCTCATGTATCTACTTGAGCTAAACCAGAGAAGTTCTTGTTCTGTATTTTTACCCTTCTGCTTTCCCATTTGATTTGAATGCCATGTCAGCTGATTAAATTGCTTTAAAAAAAAAAAAAAAAGAGGGTATGTATGATGCTAGGAGTCCCTGGTTGTCCCAAAGTTAAACGCTGGACTACGAACTGAAAAGTTGGCAGTTTGAACCCACCCAGTGGCACCTTGGAAGAAAAGCCTGGTGATCTGCTTCTGAAAGGTCACAAACATGAAAACCCTATGGAGAGCAGTTTGGAACACATGGGGTTGCCATGAGTTGGAACTGACTTGATGGCAAATTTTTTTTTTTTTTTTAAATATTTCTTCCTTTCCCCAAAAGAATTTTCCAGGGACTGGGAAATAACATGAATTAATCACTGTCATAGTTATCTACTGCTGCTATAAGAGAAATACCATAAATGGGTGACTTTGACAAACAGCAATTTATTTTCTCGCCGTTTAGGAGGCTAGAAGTCTGAGTTCAGGGTACTAGCTCTAGGGGAAGGCTTTCTCTCTGTGGGCTCTGGAGGAAGGTCCTTGTCTCTTTGAGCTTCTGCTCCTGGGCAATCTTCATGTGGCTTGGCATCTCTCTTCCTCATCTCTGCTTGCTCGCTTGCTTGTTTAATTTCTTTTATGTCTCAGAAGAGATTGATTCAAGACAAAGCCTACACCAAGCC